AACCTTGACTCAAGCATTACAAAGGTGATCCATGTAACTGAAAACATTTGTATCCCCGTAGTACTTTCAAAAATTTAAAAAAATCAGGTTAAAGCTTTCTGTCAGTTCACTTCAGTTCAGTGAACTTCTATTGAATTAACAGTAGAAGTGATACAGAGGGAGGTTGGGGATGGTTGGTAGGGAGGGGGACGTGTAGGGAAAGTTGCTGATTAATCTTATGCTGAGTGAGTTCTTCCCCAACTAAAGAACAACAATTCTAGTATTTTTTAAAAAATATGATGATTAGCTCTTAATTTTCAGGGCCAGAAAGAAGAAATGGCCAGGCATTTAGTGACCATTTTACATTAATCTGCTTGCCAACTTGAGGGCTTCATAAAACTCCACACAAGGGAGGCAGTGACCTTTGTAGAACCTTTTTTGGTAATTTTACTTTTTATTTTCTAAAAAGCCATTTTTGTAGCTGTCTTGATTGATGTGTATTGAATGTACTTTTGTTATCTTAAATATCAACTCCAAGCTCATGCACTTTCCTTATATAGCTTTCTTCTCTCCATAATTTGGCACAAGAATTTTTTTTAGTGCTGAGTGTTTTCTGCTGGTCTCTTCTCACAGCAAGACTGGCCTTTCACCTGGTTTTGTGTCTTATTTTAGAAATGACCTTACTCTCATATCTTACTTTAAAATGTTGGTTTGTTCAAGCCTTGCTGCAAATGGCTTTCATGTCTGGAAGACAGAAAAATAGAAGAAATCAGCAGAAATTAAAATAGGATTGATTTCACATGGATCTAGAGACAAAATTATTGCAAAAGATACTAGAGATCAATGCCAAGCTGCTCCCAATCCCCACCCCTGTAAGAATTTGAAGACAGGAAAGGCTAAATGACTTGCTAAAGATTACAAAATATTGATGACCATTTATCATTCTTACTATTTTCATGAAGACAACATATTCTAGAGAACTATGATTTTAACACATGAAACAAATAAGCTATTCATAAGTTTAGGAAATATGCGAAACTACTTACCCTAATTATTTTTGAGAGAATATACTAAACATTTTTCTTTCTAATTTTCTGAGTTTGTAAATGTTTAATTATGAGCATCATTACTGTTAATGTCATGGTTAAGGCTTTTAGTATTAGAGTCAGATTTGGATTTGAATCTGGCATCTACCACTTACTAAGCCATGACTCTGTGACTTTTGGGAAAACTTCTTAACCTCTCTAAACTTCAGTTTCTTATTCTGGAAAATAAATGTAATAATACATGTTTTATTGTGTTAATTATAAAGGGGTTAACTCTAAGGTTCTTACATTTAATGCCTGGCTCACAAGAATCACTCTCTAATGGTAGCCACTATTGTTACTACTACTGCTACTATCACTTATAATAGTACCCTCAACTCTGACATGGTGATCACTGTTGAATGATTTAAGCATTTAATTGCATAAAGACTGGGTGCTGTAGTCGGTAATTTTTCAACATACCTTCCAGCTCATTTCATATTTCCGTTATTTCAGAGGGCACACTGTGGTCATCAGTTCCTTCTTACTCTTTTAGAGTGATACTTAACTCTGGTACCTCAATCAGAGCCTGATACTATGATTAAGGTAAAAATTTTTAGACTGGGTGCAATGCCTGACACCTGTAATGCCAGCACTTTGGAAGGTTGAGGCAGGAAGATCATTTGAGGCCAGGAGTTTGAGACCAGCCTGGGGAACATAGAGAGATCCTGTCTCTACAAAAAGTTAAAAAGTTAGCCAGCCATGGTATGGTATGCACCTGTAGTCCCAGCTACTTGGGAGACTGAGGCAGGAGGATTGCTGGAGCCCAGGAATTTGAGATTGCAGTAAGGTATGACCTAGCCACTGCACTCCAGCCTGGGCAACAGAGCAAGACTCTGTCTCTTAAAGAAGTAATAAAAATAAAAATTATTGATCCTCTTCAACATTTTATACTAGAGAGTTTGCCCTGCATTGCTAGGGAAAATCATTAACCATTGTTCAATAAAAAAATCCCTATTTCTGCTCATCTTAGAGCATCCTACATACAACTGCCCTGTGAAAAGCAGATACCATTGTGATTTGAATTTGGAGTTCTTGTTAGAAATCACTATTTTCTATGTACCTAGTATCTTAATACAAATAGCATGTCTCTTTCAAACAGCATTAGCCTTCCTTGTATTTTAGGGCCCCCCAAATAAATTTCAACTATGCCACATATGTATTTATGCCCTGGAAAATTTCAGTGAAATGGCCTTTAATATACTAGTTAGTATCCATATATACAATTTATTGTAATGCAGTCCGTAGCAAAGAGAAATGCCACTTTATTTATACTGTTTTTGATCTACCTAGAGATGGCATGGTCACAGATTGGAAATTCAGGGCCTTATAATTTTTGAATTTATTGTTTGGGCCAGATCTGTGTTATTTGACCCATTTTTGGCACTAACAGCCTCAGTAAAATATATCTGATTATTTTTCTATATTTGCAATGTGACCATTTGTGAGGGTGTTGTGCTTGTTCAGTATACAACTGAAGAAGCCTGTCATCATCATTAGTACTCATTCATACAGCATGAGCACCTGTTTATCTTAGGCACTAGAGATGCAAATATGAATAAAACATGATTCCCAGTCTCGAAAAATGTCATAGTTTATTGGGGGAGAAAGATACTTAAATACATAATTACATTTCAAAGTGATATGTTCTATATGATAAATATGAACAAAATGTTATAGTAATATATAGGAGGAGACATTAAATTTGGGGATGTGTGGGAAAGTTTCAAAGAAGTAACATTTGAGCCAAGTCTTGAAGGCTAGATGGGAATTTGCCATTTGGAGAGAGTAGAGCTGGGGATGAGGCACTGCAGGGAAGGGAGCATCCTATGCAAAGACCTGAAGGCATGCAGGGGCATGGTAGGTAAGGAGAATGTCCTCATAGTGGCTGGAGAAGAGGCTTTGTGGGAGAAAGTTGAGTCTAAATTAGGAGTTAGAATTTTATTCATTGTCAGTGGTGAATCAATGAAGTTTTTTAAATTAGGGCTGACATAATCACATTTGAATTCAAAAATTCATAGAAGTTTAGAGCCAGAGAAAGACAGGTGGCAGATACCAGTTGAAAATCTGTTGTTTTCCAATCAAGACATTAGGGTTTACAGTGACAGTAGCTGGAGGTAAAGAAGAGTTGCTAAATTTCAGAGAGTTTTCTAAGGTATAAACAATTGAATTTTGTGATATGGGACATATCCATCTGATATGGGACATGTGGGCAGTAGGAGGGGCATGGGGTCTGGCTTGGGCAACTTGGTGGATTAACTGAGAATAACAGAGCTCGGGGAAATGTAAAAAGAAAAGCAGGGTTGTACATTATTTTGTCTTTTATTTGTTTGGAGGAGTTTTCATTTTGTATAAGGTAGATTCAGGCTTTTCAGGAACATTCTAGTAGGCAAGTCTGGATCTAAATCTTGGGAGAGAAGGAACCATAGTAATATTTTTGAGTTCCTACTGTTTATTTTTTCATTAAAAACTAAGCTTTTCAGAGGTTAACTAATCATGGTCTTAGGAACGTGGCTATGGAACCAAAACATAAATTCCTACGGTTCTTACCAAATTGTTTTTAGCTGAAATGGCCATTTGAAAGAAAAAATAAATCTCGTTTCTGCCATTCATTATTTTACTGTTTCATTTCCCAGAGTATCTTTACTTAAAAAAACAAACAACAACAAAAAAAACTGGTGTATATATACAAAGTCCATAATTTTCTGCCCTGAGTTTTCTGATCTTAATGTTATTTGGCTGATGCAGAAATGTTCTCAGGATCATAGCAAAGGAGCCCAAACCACTTACTTTTTTCTAGCCAAACCTTAAAATTGAAAAATTATGTCCTCAATAAATATTTATTACTTCATTTATGCTTGATCTAATCGTAATTGTTGTCCAGTTTCTATATGAGGGAGACTATCAGTGTTAAGGATAAAGGTATAATGTCCACTTCTTTGTAGGAATTTAAAAATAAGGTGGATTTTTTTCCCCATTTGGATGGTTGAGCTATAGTCCTTCTTGAAATCCAGAGAATAAAGTAGGTAGTTCTTCAAAATCTGCCCTAACCCCCAGATTTCAGGGATCATTCATCAAGACTTGCATGGTAAAAAAAAAAAGAAAAATAGACTTGCATGGTTGTGAAGGACTTGGGTAGTCTTTGAACAAGCTGCACACATCTGACATTCTTTTTTCATGTATTTAAAAAATAAATGAGTACATCTTATCTACATGAAAATCTAGGCCAGGTGGCTCACGCCTGTAATCCCAGCACTCTGGGAGGCCGAGGCGGGCTGATTGCTCAAGGTCAAGAGTTCAAAACCAGCCTGAGCAAGAGTGAGGAGATGCTGTATCTACTATAAGTAGAAAGAAATTAATTGGCCAACTAATATATATAGAAAAAATTAGCCGGGCATGGTGGCGCATGCCTGTAGTCCCAGCTACTCGGGAGGCTGAGGCAGAAGGATTGCTGGAGCCCAGGAGTTTGAGGTTGCTGTGAGCCAGGCACTCACTCTAGCCTGGGCAACAAAGCAAGATTCTGTCTCAAGAAAGAAAACAAATCTAGTTTCACTGTTACTATCTAGATTTTCTGTTTGGTGTTTTGGGCTGTGGTATTTTTTCTTTACTTTGTTCTTGATTGCTGTGAAATGTAGTTGCCCGTTCTTTAAGGCAGCTGCAGTAGAGTGCACCCAGAAGTGGTTATATTTCTATATTTAGTAAACCATAGGGTTTGTGAAGCAGTTGCAGATTCCTTCAGGATAAAATTGTTTCTATAAATGTAACATTTTTAATGAAACTATTATTATCACCCATTAGAAAAATATAGGGAAATATGTGTGGGTTTGTGGACAAGACAGAGACATAAAATTTTTTTCCCCTTGAGAGCTCTCTATTTTAAATACTTAAAATTAATCATGTGAATCCTATTTTTATGCTCTTAATCTTGAATTGCAGAGCTTTTACTCAAGTGTTTACCTTTGGTCCAACATTCCGAGCTGAAAATTCTCAGACCCGAAGACACCTGGCAGAGTTTTATATGGTAGAAGCAGAAATTTCTTTTATTAAGAGCCTTCAAGATCTCATGCAGGTAAGTATACAGGTTTTAAAATATTGGGGATGTAAATATCAGGTATCTGTGTCATTAAAATGCCTCCGTACATATTTTTACCTCAGACATCTATGCATTTCAGGTATTCATAAAATGAAAAAGATGGAGAACTACTTAATTTAATAAACACCTACTGAATACCTTTAGTGTAGTAGTTTAAAGTACAGGAGTCAGACATTTAAGTTTATATCCCAGCTTTGCAATTATCTTTGCTGTGAAGTTACCTAACTTTCATGATCTTTTGATTCCTTGACTATAAAATAAGAATAATTGTACTTATTTCATAAGTTATTTTGAGGAGCAAATAAAATAATGTATATAATATAAAACCTGTAGTATGGGGTCTGGAACATAAGCAGGCTCAGTAAATAATACCTCTTATTTGCTAGGAAAATAAATAAAACATCTATAATAGTTATATGAACATTTAAATAGCTATATTAGAAAGCTTCCACATGAGCTGTCCAAGCTCAGTGGCTAGTTTCTTAAGCATTGGTAATTAATGTCTAGGAATAATGTGAACCAGAAGAATACACAGAGTCATTTTATTCAGAGCATTACCCTATACTACCATTGCTGGTATTGTTTCACATACCTTCCAAAATAAGTATGGGACTAATTGAAAAGGATTAGACCACCCCAGAGAGATGAATAGTTACTTGTCTGGTGGCTTTAGATGGGGTAGGCCTGAGTCAGGAGGTAGCTTCAGTGACATTACACCCTGAGAGTTACATAATAGCTACCTAGAACAGTTCTTATTTATACTTGTTATCTTGGCTTAATATTCTTTTAAATTTATTTTTAAATTTACATACAGAAAATTCTAAGTTTTGAAAAATGTATAGACCTCTGTAACCATGACTACAATCAAGCTACAGAACAATTTGATCATTGCAAAACAACTGACTCTTGCTGCTTTGTATTCTAAATCTCCTCCCACTGGCAACCACTGATCTGTTCTTTATGGGTAATTTTGCCCTTTCCAGAATGTCATGTAAATCAAATAATATAGTATGTAGACTTTTGAGTTTGGCTTCTCTCACTTAGTGTAATGTATTTGAGCTTTGTTTATGTTCTGTGTATCAGGTGTTTGCTCCTTTTTACTGCTGGGTAGTATTCCGTGATACAGATGCACCACAGTTCATTTATCCATTCACCAATTGAAGGACATTTGGTTTACTTCCAGTTATTGAAAATAATGAACAAAGTTGTTATAAATATTCATGTGTAGGTTTTATATGGACATAAACTTTTTATTTTTCTTGGGTAAATTCCTAGGAGTGAGTTTACTAGGTCAGTGTTTGGTGCTTAACTTTACAGGAAAGCAGTCTGTTTGCAAATTGACTGTACCATTTTGCATTCCCATCAGCAGTGTATGAGTTTCACATTTCCACTTCCTTACCAGTACTTAGTATTGTTATGTGTGTATGTTTGAAACAGGGTCTTGCTCTGTTGTGTGGGCTACAGTACAGTGGCATCATCACAGTTCACTACAACCTCAAACACCTGGGTTCAAGTGATCCTCCTGCCTCAGCCTCCTGAGTAGTTAAGACAGCAGGCGCCCACCACACCTGGCTATTTTTCAAATTTTCTGTAGAGATGAGAATGTTATGTATGTTACCCAGGCTGGTTTCAAACTCCTGGCCTCAAGCAATCCTTGGACCTTGGCCTCCCAAAGTGCTAGGATTACATGCCCTTGGCCTTGTATGTGTGTTTCAAGACACTGTAATAGCTGTGTATCAGTTTCTCATTATGGTTTTAATTTGCATTTCCCTAATGCCTATTGATGTTGAACATCTTTTCATGTGTTTATTGGCCATCAGTCTATAGTCTTTGGTGAAGTGTTTGTTCAAATTGGGTTTTTTTGTTGGATTGTTTTCTTGTTGAGTTTTGAAAATTCTTTATTCTAAATGAAAGTCCTTGTTTAGATATGTGAATTGCAAATTTTTTCTCCAGTCTGTGGCTTATGTTTTCACTCTCAGCAGTATCATTTACAGAGAAAAAGTTTCTAATTTTGGTGAACATTAATTTACCAGTTTTTTCTTTTATGGATCTTGTTTTTAGTGTCCTATTTAATAATTCTTTGCCAAACCCAAGATTACAATGATATTTCTGTTTTTGTCTGAAAGTTTCATTGTTTTAAGTTTTTTTTTTAATTTTAGGTTTATGATCCATTATAAGTTAACTTTTGTATAAGGTGCAGAGGTATAGATTAAGGTTCATTTTTTGCGCCTGTCTTAAAAATGTGTTAAGATGGTTACCCTTTCTCCATTGAATTGTCCTTATATCTTTTTTTTTTTAACTTTTTTTGTTGAGATAATTGTGGATCACATGCAGTTGTAAAGAATAATGTAGAGATAGCCTGTGTACTCTATTCAGTTTCTCCCAATGGTAAAATCTTGCAGAATAATAATACAATATCACAACCAGGATATTGACATTGACACAGTGAAGATATAGAACACTTCCATCACAAGGATCCCTAATGTTGCCCTTTTATGTATACCCTACTTCTCCTCCACTCACCCTCATCTCTAGCCCGTGGCAACCACTATTCTGTTTTCATTTCTAAAATTTTATCATTTCAAGAATGTTACATAAATGGAATCATACAGTATGCAATCACTCGGGACCTGCTTTTTTCACTCAGCATAATGCCCTTAATATTTGTCCGAGTAGTTGTGTGCATCAGTAATTCATTCCTTTTCATTGCTGAGTGGTAGTCTGTGTATTTCCCATAGTTTGTTTAACTATTCACCCATTGTTTTCACTTTAGAGCTGTTATGAATAAAGCAGCTATGAACATTCATATACAGGTTTTTTATTTGTTTGTTTGTTTTTGAGACAGAGTCTCACTTTGTTGCCCAGGCTAGAGTGAATGCCGTTGCGTCAGCCCAGCTCACAGCAACCTCAAACTCCCAGATTCAAGCAATCCTACTGCCTCAGCCTCTCAAGTAGCTGGGACTACAGGCATGTGCCACCATGCCCGGCTGATTTTTTCCTATATATATTAGTTGGCCAATTAATTTCTTTCTATTTATAGTAGAGACGGGTTCTCGCTCTTGCTCAGGCTGGTTTTGAACTCCTGACCTCGAGCAATCCGCCCGCCTTGGCCTCCCAGAGTACTTCATATACAGGTTTTTAAGTAAGTAAATTTCATATACAGGTTTTTAAGTAAGTAAATCTTCATTTTCCTGGAATAAATGCCCAAGAGTGCTAGGTCATATGATAGCCATATGTTTTATAAGAAACCACCAAACTCTTTTCAGCAGAGTGTTCCGCCAGCAGTGTATGAATGATCTAGTTTTTCCATATCCTCTCCAGCATTATTTATAGTCACTATTCTTTATTTTAGTCATTGTGATAGGTGTCTAGTAATGCCTTATTGTGTTTTTAATTTGCATTTCCCAACTTGCCAGTGGTGTTGAACATCTTTTCAGGTGCTTATTTGCCATCTGTATGTCCTCATCAGTGAAATGTCTGTTCATGTCTTTTGCCCTTTTTCTGTTGCCCCACGGAGATGTTGCTCCATAGATTAATATTGCTATATAGGGACAGAAATGATTTCAAGAGTTTTGCAGGGCTTTGCCCTGAAGAAATATGTGAAGGTGTTCAGGAGGACATCTTACAGGTCAGTGGCAGCTGCTTTCCAAAGTGATGCTGCAGTCTCAAACCCATGGCTTTCTTCTGTTTTGCATGACAAAACAGGTTTGCAGGCCGGGCGGTGGCTCATGCCTGTAATCCTAGCTCTCTGGGAGGCCGAGACGGGCGGGCGGATTGCTCAAGGTCAGGAGTTCAAAACCAGCCTGAGCAAGAGCGAGACCTCGTCTCTACTATAAATAGAAAGAAATTAATTGGCCAACTAATATATATAGAAAAAATTAGCCGGGCATGGTGGCGCATGCCTGTAGTCCCAGCTACTCGGGAGGCTGAGGCAGGAGGATTGCTTGAGCCCAGGAGTTTGAGGTTGCTGTGAGCTAGGCTGACGCCACGGCACTCTAGCCTGGGCAAAAAAAAAAAAAACAGGTTTGCAGGGAGCCAGGGATGATCAAAGAGTGCCCACTGGACAGTTCCTGCTTTAATCCTGACTACCTGTCTGAAACCACAATAACTAGATAAAGAAATACAGAGCCACTATATTTCTGTTTAGCCTTTCTGCTAAGTGATAGCTTTATCTTAGAACTTGGAAATTTGTCTTAGAAAGATTTTGTAACCCTTTGCTAAGATAGATAAGAGTTAATTAAGGGGTCTCTAGAAGCCTTTTGGGAGACTTTTAACCTAAAATGAACTACCTGTTATGATGTAAATCTGTTACCCCTGGCAACCGATCACTGTACCCATAAATACCCATGTAAAACTTTACTCTGGGCCTCATAGCTCCGAGGGAATGCTGTGGGGTCTCCTCAGCCCCCACCTATAAAATCTATACTTTATAAAACTGTACTTCTGTCTCTGTGTATTCTTTTATTTCTCTATTCTATTATTTTCTATTTTCCATTATTTCCTTATTGTTTGTGACAACCCCTGTCTAAGGGAACCAATTTTTTGTTGGGAGCGTAGGTAACTCTCTGCAATTTTCTATATGGATTGTTTGTTTTTTCACTGTCCCATCTTGAGAGTTCTTTATATATTGTGGATAGACTTTGTTGAATGTATGGTTTCCAAATATGTTCTCCTAGTAAGAAGCTTGTTTTTTCATCCTGTTATTTTTTTGAGGTCCAGTTTATCATTTTTTTTGTTTTGTTTTATGGATTAAGCTTTTCGTGTCAAGTCTAAGAACTCTTTGTCAAGCAATAGCCCTAGATCCTTAATGTTTTATAAATGTTTTACAGCTTTAGCTTTACATTTTTCATGTAAGTCCATGGTCTGTGTTGATTTAATTTTTGTGTAAGGTGTGAAAACTTACAGGTTCTTTTTATTTATTTTTTCTTCTTCTTCTTCTTTTTTTTTTTTTTTTTTTTTGCCTATGGATGTTTTCTTGCTCTACCACCATTTATTGAAAAAGCTGTCCTTCATACATTGAGCTGTTTTTGCATTCTGTCAAAAATCAGTTGGTCATATATGTATGTATGGGTCCATTTCTGGGTTCTCTGTTCTGTTCCATTGTATCCTTCTGCCAATAGCACACATTCTTGATTACTCTAGTCCTTAATATCAGGTACAGATTCCTCTCACTCAGTTTTCATAGCCTCTGCTATGCTATTTCGGTCTTTCTGATGCAGGTGCCACGCCACTTGCAGTTAGCCTGGAAATTGCAGTGGTTTATATTGGCTAGGTCATTGTCAGAAGCCTTCACTTGGCTTCCTTGTGTCTGTTGCACATATTCATTGCTTGTGGGTAAGCCTTGGACTTATGCTAGTTCACATACAGAATTAGAGGGTCACCTTCTCCTGCCCTTCAGAATTTCCTTCACATGGTGTAACTGGCTGAGGCCTTTTTTTTCTGGTTTCTCTGGCCAGAAAAACAAGTTTCTTCCAAGATTTTAGTGACCACCATGTTAGTCATTTCCAGGTGACTGTGGACACCTGAGGTCAAAGTGGCACGAGAAAAGATTTTTAAAAATAATGGGGATTCCCTACGTGTATGCTCTTTAAACAGTGGAAGTCTCCCTTTCCCAGTTCCTCCAATTGGAGAAGTGGGTCTTCTCTTGTAGTTTTAGGCCCTTGTGCTACTGTCACCCTGACAATACAACTCCATAACTGGCGCTGTCTTCAGCATAAGAACAGAAGAGAAAAGAGAGAAGGGGAAAAAACAGCCTAGGAGTTTTCCCATAAATAGGCTGGCGCTGCACCCCTGGCCTGTTAGGAACCGGGCTGCACATCACCATCTGAGCTCCACCTCTCCCCCATCCCACACCTCGTGCCCCCCTCAATCCATGGAAGAATTGTCTTCCGTGAAACCAGTCCCTGGTGCCCAAAAGGTTGGAGACCACAGCATAAGCGCACAGGGACTTTTTAAACCTAGTTCTATACTGGAGATGATAGGAGGTTTCTCCCAGGAAGAAAGTTTTGCTTCCTCTGCTCAACATTTCACCCCCAAATCAAAGCCAGGAGACAAAGGAGGGGAAAATGAAACTGAAATTTATCTCCATTACAGGTTATAAATCAAATTGACTAGTTTCCAGTCTGCCTGTTTACTTTTCTGAGTTCTTAGGTATTGCTCTTTGTATTCTGACCAGATTTTTTAGTTGTAATTGGTTAGAGAGATAGATTGTAGTCAATTTATTCCATCTTGGCTAGCTAGAGAAATAAAATAGCTTAATTATTAATATTTCTAGTTTCCATTCTCAAAAAGTACCCCAGCTTGGACAGTTTGTTACATAATTACACAAGAAGGTCTGTGACTAATTTTGTAAGTCTTAATGCTGACTTTCATGAACCTAGTAATAGGAAATTAAATCAGATAAGAATTCACATTTTGGTGTTATGATTTGCTACTTGAGTTCTTATTTATTTCATATTCCACTGGTGGTACTCAAGGCATATACTATTGAATGATTCAGTTAATTGGGATATAAACTTATTTCCTAAAGACAGTAGAAAAAAACTGTGCTTTCCCCCAAAAGTAATTTCCTGCTTCTCTCAATTTTCTCCCTTTTATAAATTATTTTCTGTGGAAATTATTATCTAGATAAAGAGCAGTCTCTTAGATATTAAATCAGAACATTGTAGGAGGATATTTTCACCTTATGACCTATAAGCAGTTAATAAGTATTACTGTTTTAGTGCCATTGAGTAATATATTTTTAAAACATCTGAGTTATGCTAACTCTTCAGTTAAGTTTCTGTTTTTTTTCAAATATATTTATGCAACATAGTTTAAAAGTCAAGATTAGGGAAGCCAATGATTTTCTTCTTCTAGTGGAAACTTACTGCTCATGAAAGACACTCATTTAACAACTGTTGTGGTCAAAGTCTTCATCTTTCAGATAGGTGCATTGTATCCCTCAAGAGTGCAGGCATGCCATCCAATCTACTTGCTCTTTTTTCCTCTCAGTATGTGTCAGCTTTGTTTAGTGATTGAGGGATATGACCCTTCATAAATCACTCAGGAATTTCTTTATTTCACTGCTAAGCTGAAGGTGATATAGGCTCAAGGTAAAAGATCTTTAGCCTTCTATTTTGTTCTTTTTTCATCAAGTTATTCCTTACTTCTATTCACCTCTACATTGGATTAATCTGGTCTTTTTAATTATCCTTTCTTTTCCTCCATGGGCTTAGAATTTATACATCTTTTTCTATTATTTTAATGGTTTACCTTACACTTTTTACATGAAGTCTAGAATTTATACATCCTGTTTCTATTATTTTAATGGTTTACCTTACACTTTTTACATGAAGTCTAAAGTTAAACATCTATGCCTTCCTTAGTATAGAAGGTCTTTAGAAAGTTCTGCTTTAATTCTGCTTATTATTTTCCATTTTATTTTTACTTTTGTCTAGTCTTTTGATTCCAACTTGTTTTTCCACCCCCCCCCAAATTAGTTGTCATTACTGTTTTATACTGTAAGTGCCGTAGATACCCAAATGCTCACCAATTTCTTTCACTGTGTTAGATATACATGTTGGTTGGAAGGATAAATGACCAATAGTAATTGAAAGTAAGACAGTGAAACAGCTTAGCAAGACATCTATAATAAATGCCGCTAATGAATACTGAGGCATAATGAAATAAACCTAGTTGTCACTGGTCTTTAAGTATTTTCCTGCATCTGATCATATTAAATTACTTCAGTAAGCGGTTATGTCCCCACCATGTTTCTAACCTGAAAAAGGTGTACCAGTGAGGCAAAAGAGGAAAAGAAAATATCTGCCTTTGGGTAGCCTGTATTTTATAAATGTTTGTATCTTTGTGAGCGCAACATTTGGAGTGCCTAATATGGTCTCATTGATTTAAAACCAAAAATCAAAAAAATTTTGTCGTGGTTAAAAGGATTTTAGAAATATTTTCCATCATAGTCACTTTTTTCTTCTATGAGCAAGTTTCTCCCATGAGACTTCTATGGATATCCCTGGTAGATTGAATTCTTACATACTGATTTGTGTTGCATGCTTACTCAAGTTTACTTTAGCTTTAACAAAGCAAAAATGTATATATTTATATTTAGCTATATGTCATTGTTTCTCTAATTTTAAAGTTTACTTTCATTTACTAATGACTGAATAAACCTCTTTTCAAAATATTCTTACTCTTCTCAACAATTAATGTTTATTGTATGCTTCTTTGAGCCAGGTACTAAGCTAAGTCTGATACATGGATTATCTTATTTAATTCTCTCAATAATTCTGTAAGTTAGGTACTATTGTCCTAATTCTACAAGTGAGTTTATTGAAATTTAGAGAGACATTGATCAGTTATAGCTTTTCAGTTGACATATCATTTCTATGCTAGTACTGGAACTATTAGCGTAAGAGTCAAATATCCCCAACTACCCACTCACCCCCCTAGAAGAAATTGAGATGCCTGGACAAGTTTTTCTGATAAAGTTGCTTACTTAGGTGATTCTGTGTCATTTCTCTTAGGTTATGGAGGAACTCTTCAAGGCTACAACAGTGATGGTTCTCTCAAATTGTCCTGAAGATGTTGAACTCTGTCACAAATTCATAGCTCCTGGCCAAAAGGTAATTAGTTTTGTTGATAAGGCCCAATTCATCTACTCTTTAAATATGTTAATTACATATAATGAATATAATTACATTTTAAAATTTTTCCTTTTTTGTCTTTTATTACCAAGGACAGATTAGAACATATGCTAAAAAACAACTTTTTAATGTAAGTAGATATTATACTTTTTCTGAACTTTATTCATTGTCATTGTATTTATCACACTGTATTATAATTTTTTGTTTATATACCTGCTCACCACACTCCCCAGACTTGAGGCAAAAACAATGTTCTAATTATTTGTATAGCTCTTGTGTCTGGTTTATAGTTGATAATCAATGTTTCACCAATAAATTAATAAATCATAACAAAATAAATGAACATAGTAATTATTAGCTGTATTTCTATAATTCTAACTTATACTAACTTTTGTAATCAAAATTTGGCTTGATTAAAAAAGAAACTTTAAAAAATACACATAGTGTAAGTTATAGCAAAACAAGAATTTAAGAGCAAAAACTAATTAGGAGACTATCACAGCTATCTAGGTGAGAGTTAATGGTGATTTGGGCCAAGTATTAGTCAGGATTCCGGGAGCAGGGGGAATTTATTTTAAGGAATTGGCTCACAGCATTGCAGAGGCTTGTTGAGTTCCATCTGATGCTGTAAGCTGACAGACTAGAAACTTGGGAAAGAATTTGCAGTTCAGTCTAAAGGCAGTTTCCTGACATAATTCCTCCTTTCTCAAGAGGAGGTCAATCTTCGTTCTAGTAAAACGTACAAATGATTGGATTAGGTCCACCCACATTATGGAGGGTAATCTACTTTAGTCAAAGTGCACTGAGGTAAACATTAATCTTATCCAAAAAACACCTTCAAGAAACAGTAATATTTGACCAAAAACCTGGACACCGTGGCCCAGCCAAACTGACATAAAATTAATCATCACAGACCAAAATGGTGGTGAGAGTTGTCCTATTCTGGATATATTTTAAAGATAGAGCACACAGGATTTACTGAGGGTGAGAAAGAAAGAGACAGAGAAAGGAGTCAAGGGTAACTTTAAGCTTTTTATCTCATACAGCTGCAAAAATGGAGTTGCCATTAAATGAAATTGTGGAAGCTATAAGAGTAATGGCAGGACTGGTCACGGTGGCTCACACCTGTAATCCTAGCACTCTGGGAGGCTGAGGCGAGCAGATCGCTCAAGGTCAGGAATTCGAGACCAAGCCTGAGTAAGAGCAAGACCCTGTCTCTACTAAAAATAGTAAGAAATTAGCCAGACAACTAAAAATATATAGAAAAAATTAGCAGGCATGGTGGTACATGCCTGTAGTCCCAGCTACTCAGGAGACTGAGGCAGAAGGATTGCTTGAGCCCTGGAGCTTGAGGTTGCTGTGAGGTAGGTTGACGCCAAGAGCGAGCGAGACTCTGTCTCAAATAAAAAAAGAGTAGTGGGGGAGGTTTGGGAGTGAAGGGGATGGTATCAGGAGCCCAGACATGTTAAGATGCTTTTCAGACATCCAATTGTAGATGTTGAGTAGGCAGTTGAAAATATGGGTCTGGAATTTACAAGAGAGTTCCGGACATGAGCATATTGATAAAAGTAGGAATGAAGTAGATGAGGAAAAGTAATTTGGGCCTCCCAAGGAATCTGTGCTGGTGATAAAAAAACAAGGAGAAGATCTTTGTTATCCAACTCCTGTATAAGGAATAAGATATTTACTATAAGCTAGACAGTGATAAACTTTACATAAATTAGTAATTCATTTTATCTTGACAACTCTGAGTGGTTATTATTCCCATTCTGTAGGTGGAGAATCAGCACAAAGAGATTAAAAGAGTAAAAGATAAAATGGGGACTCAAATTCATATTCACCTGATTTCAGAGCCTGTGCTTTTAACTGCTTTATATATTTGACAGGGCACCAGAAATTAATGGTAGACTGTGGGGCACGGTGGCAACGCCATTCCAAGATGGCGCCCGCTTCCTGGTCAAACCCTGCTGTTAGTCTGACAAACAAGTGCTCAGCGCATGTGCAGAGTTTGTCTCCTCCCTTCCAAGTGCCTTATCCAATCAGACAATGCCCAGTGTACTTACTGCCTTTATAAGCAGCCGCCGAGAACGCCTCGGCGTCTTCCGCATCATGTAAGTCTAAAGGGAACCCCATTAAAGCACTGTCAGAAGAACTCCAGTTGCCGCGTCTTCCTTGCTGGCGAGGCGGGCGCGACAGTAGACTAGTTGTGGGTCCCCAAGTATCCTTATGATCTTTATGTATCACTTAACTTTTACACTTTGGAGTCCTTGTTTATAAAATATTACGGTTGGGAAATGACCTCATAGACTGTGCCATTTCAATCTTTGTCATCATCATGAGTTATTCTGCATAACACGAATCATAATTATAGTTTAAATTTATGGGGAGAGTGACATCAGCAAGATGGTGAATAGGAGGTTCCAGGCTTCATTGCCCCCCACAGAAAGTCCAATTAGCAACTATCAACAAGACAAGAATACCTTTATGAAAATCTCAGAACTTGGGAATAAAACTGAGACACCCACATGGACCACAGAACAAAAAAACTTCATTAGTAGGGTAAGAAGAATAGTCTCATTTTGACTACTTCCCCCCCCTCAAATCAACACAGTGCCACACAAAGAGGATTCCCCTGGGCCCAAGGTTTCTACAGTGGGAAAAGAGAGCCAGAGACAGCTATCCTGCTTCCCAGGAGGCCCACTCCTGTCTCACTCATGGGGAGCCCTAGCCAGTAAGGCCAAGGCTAGACTTCCTGCGGTCAGGAAGGAACAAAGAAAGGGGACAGGCTTCATTGCAGCCAGATCTTGGTGGTAGCTCTATGTTCTTGCCAGCAGGGGTGCCCAGTCAGAGATACCAGCCAACGGCATAGCCCACTCACAAAGCCCAGTTAGTTGCTGCAGAAGCTCAGTGGGAAGTTCTGACTGGCTTGAGTTCCTACAGGCCAGCCACACCCACTCAGCCTGGGAGTCCATCTCAAGGCTCCACCCAGGCAGGCAGACACACTCATCACAAACGTTTTACATTTGTGTAAGATACAGCTTACCAACAGGTATAAGAAAAAGTGTTCAACATCACTAGTCATCAGGGAAATGCAAATTAAAACCAAAATGAGATACCACCTCACACATGTTAGAATATCAGTTATCAGAAAGTCAAAAGATAATAAGATAACTAAACATCTAAAAATGATAGTTAAAATTTTATAAGAAGGCCGGGCGCTGTGGCTCACGCCTGTAATCCTAGCTCTTGGGAGGCCGAGGCGGGCGGATTGCTCAAGGTCAGGAGTTCAAAACCAGCCTGAGCAAGAGCGAGACCCCGTCTCTACTATAAATAGAAAGAAATTAATTGGCCAACTGATATATATATAAAAAATTAGCCGGGCATGGTGGCGCATGCCTGTAGTCCCAGCTACCCGGGAGGCTGAGGCAGAAGGATCACTCGAGCCCAGGAGTTTGAGGTTGCTGTGAGCTAGGACGCCACGGCACTCACTCTAGCCTGGGCAACAAAGCGAGACTCTGTCTCAAAAAAAAAATAAAAAATAAAAAATAAAATAAAACATTTAAAAAAAAAAAATTTTATAAGAGACGTTCCAGGTGCTCAAATTGAAGAAGGAACCAAATACCAGAGTGATATGTGTAATTGACATGATGCTGAGGATTCTCCAGGTGAAGGATAGGGAGGATGGTTTTCCAGTGTTTGAAACCAGAGATTTTGAAAGCCTTGAGAGGACATAAGAATAGACTTAAGCGTAAAGAATTAGAAGAGATATGCCCAGAAATACACATACACACAAAGCTAGAACTGTCCGAGGACCACATTGTTAATGAAAAGGCTAACTAGAAACAAGAAAACAAACAAAATTCAGCTAGCCATCGTAGGAAGTTTATAAAGAATTTTATCTGCTTTAACCTAAACTTAAGGGTAGAGGCAAAAAAAAAAATAGTCTGCATTGAGAATTTGCAGCCCCAGTCTGCCCTTAAGTGAACCTAGAGTTTGAATTTATAATTCCTGTGTAATCCAAGAATCCTCACACCAGGACATTAAAATAAAAAGTTGTCTTGGGTTGGAGATAACCCTGGAGTACCTGTAGAAGCAAATACAAAACCAATCTTGAGGTTTACACCCTCAGCCCAGATGGCATGATATTCTCAAAAGCAAACTGCTGAAGATAATCTTAAGAGTCCAAACTCTGAAACACCTGGGGAAACAACCTACCATAGGCAAGAACAGCAGACACAATAAATCAAATCCTCAGCAAGTTCAAATAACAATGACAATAGAATGATAATATCTTCACAGTTACCTTAGAACTAAAATACTGGACAGCAGTTACATGTAAAATCGAAGCAGTATGTTCATAGTTGAAATATGTTAGTCCTTGTGTTATTAGAAAGGAAGGGAGGGATACTGATTAGATTTGTTACGTCAGACCTTCATGTTAAAGTGTTAAGGATACGCCTATATAATCCCAGCTACTGGGATGTTTTGGCAGGAGGAATGCTTGAGCCTAGCAGTTCATATCTAGCCTGGGCAACATAGCAATATGCCATCTCTAAAAAACAAAAAAAAAAGAAGAAGAAAAAAAATTAATAAGAAGATGCTGGGCATGGTGGCTCATACCTATGATCCCAGCCACTGGGAAAGCTGATGTGGGAGGATTGCTTTAGATCAGGAGCTCAAGACCAGCCTGGGCAAAATAGCAATTGTTTTTCTGTTAAAAAATGGAAAAACAATTAGCCAGGCCCAGCTACTCAGGAAGCTAAGGTGGGAAGATCACTTGAACCCAGGAGTTGGAGGCTACAGTGAACTATGATCATGCCACTACACTTCAGCCTGGGTGACAGAGTGAGACCCCCATCTGTAAAAAAATAAACAAAAATTGTTTTACATTTAAAAAATGAAATGCTAAGTGTAGCCACTAAAAGTATAGTGGGATAGTGATAGTGGGGTAATGATAATTATTAAATTAATATCAGAGGTAGTAAAATTGAGAAATAGTTTGTGTAGTGGTGCCCACTCTTATTACCACCATTCTGCTGCTTCATGCTCTTTAAGGCATTGACTCTGAAATGCCTGAAAATAGAGATGTGGCTGAATCTACCTTTGAGATAATCCTACAAAAAGTAAAGCTAATGGAATAGACAAGGAGATAGCAAAACAAAGAAACTGTTGTTCTTTATGCAGACTAAACTGTTAATTAGTGAATCCATATAGACACCATATGACTTGTATTCTTTTGAATAAATAGATTTTGGTATATTCTAAAGTGCTTGTTAAAAATGTTTTATATGAAAATATACCATTTAAGAAACTTGTGTAGTAATTGAATTTAGCCTTTGTCAAGCAGAAATGGAATTCAGTTATTTTACATTTCCTTTATAGTATTAAGGCTTTGAAAACAGAGTACTTACTTTCTTTATTTGCTCTTCATTTATCTGGGTGAATTTGAAGGAAAGAATGACAATAATGATCTCTTTAGCTCAGTAATTTTATTCTAAGAACTTCAGAATAATGAATTTTCTTTATTCAACAATGAAAAATTTGAAACGTGAAGGTAGTTTGATGCTGTATCATGCTATCTCACAATGTTTTTTCCTCCTTTCCTCAAAGCACTTTGGAAACAGTTTCTGAAAAGGAGAAGAAATACTATTCTGTATACATATCAAGAAAAATACTTAGTAGAGAGAGTTGTTGAAAGCTGCTAATGATATCCCATGTAAAAACTGTAATTTGAACTTGAAAGCTCTGCCTCAAATTAAGGTGTGAGGGAAGTGAGGTGGAAGATCTGGAATAAAAAGAGTTATTTACATATGAGAATCATTTCTTCTTAATAATAACACAGTAAGATAACAGTAGTACAATGGTATAAAATCCTACTGTTTCCTATTTTGATTGCTCTTATATTTCTCAGTGTAATTGGTAGATTATACCAAGTAAATTGATGTAATAGAACAATAGAATGTCTGCACAGAAAATTAGTATTAGACAAGATAGGCCAATCTCCTTATTTTATAAATGCAGAGACTTAATTTTTAGATTTTTGTATATAACACATTATAAAACTTAATAACATGCTGGGTTGAAGTAATTTACACGGCTAGAGTCAGAGGTTAGAGTAAGTGGAAGAGGAAGAACCCAGAGGCCATTATTTTTTGTTTTGATTAATTGTATGAAACTCTAGATGTTTTAAGTATTATCTTAGCAGTTAAAAGCTTACTCTGTAGTCAGCAAATCAGGGGTTAGTGCTTACTTATATGAGTGATCTTTGAAAATTCATTGATTCTCTCTAAGCTTCAGTTTCCTATCTGTATTATGCTAATTTTGAAATTATTATTACGACTATTACCAATACCAACACCAACACCCCCATTACCTTAGAAATTACTTGTTATTTAATACTAGATTTTAATTTGAATAGAAATTTCATCTTTGAAAAAACCTATCACACAAAACATTGTGGGGACTTTATTTGTACTGTAAGATATAATACAACTTTTTTATAGTTATCATAGGCATGAAATTCACTTTTGCTTCAGAGAGTAACTTTGTGCTAGGTAAGTTGTTTTTTGAGCTCAAAGTCCTTCAGAAAGTTTGTACATTTTTTTTAATCATTGAAAATACTGTCGCAGTACTTTCCCTGTAGTTTGCAAGGAAACTGACATTTTCATATGTTACTGTTAGGCATAAATTGGTATAACTCTATAAAAAAGGAGCAATATCTTTTCCAAAATCTTTCAGAAAATACAAAGGTGGCAAATTTTGATCCAACAATTTCACTTTTTCCATGTGTAAAATTAGTGTATAAGTATTATTTGTAATGGCATTAATTAGGATATGTAGTCTTTTTTTGGAGAGAGAGAGTCACTCTGTTTCCCTGGCAAGTGCCGTGGCATCAGCCTAGTTCACAGCAACCTCAAACTCCTGGGTTCAAGTGATCCTTCTGCCTCAGCCTCCCACATAGCTGGGAGTATTGACAGGCACCACCAACCCAGCTAATTTTTTCTATTTTTAGTAGAGACAGGGTCTTGCTCTTGCTCAGGATGGTTTTAAACTCCTGAGCTCAAGCTGTCCTCCTGCATCAGTTTCCCAGAGTGCTACTGAGCTCAGCCTTGTAGCCTTGATTTGTAATTCCAGAAGATTAGAAATGTGAAATATTCATCATTAGATCACTGGTTAAACTAATTGTGATACATCTACAGAATGGAATATTATGTAATACAAAAAAATGGAGAAGTTCTTCATATATTCATAGAAAGATCTGAAATTTATATTATTGAGTAAAATAAGGCATAAAAGAGTGTGTATAGTATGTATGCTATGGCTGACATCTATAAAAAACAGAAGGGAGGTTGTATATTAATATTTGTTTACATATATGTGTGTATGTGTATTCATTCCTCTGGAAGGATACTCAAGAAACCAACAATAGTGATTATGTGAATGGAGAGGAACTGAATTGGGTGGCTTTGGGACCAGGATGGAAAGGCGATGTGTACTCTTTGATACATCTTTTTGTTTGTCTGTTTTTAAGCTATACAGATACATTATCTATTCACACAGTTAAATTAAAGCAAGTCCTTGGTTTGGCTTACTTTGGAAGTGAGAGTGTCTTATTAAGAGAACCAAAAATATTTTTCCTAAACAGTCTTACAGTACTTAGAATATATTACCAGGCCCAAACCATGGCCTGAAAGAATCCATATGTTCTGACTTCTGACTGCCTTTCCTATGTAATTTCCTGATATTCTTCCCCTCATTCAACATGTTCCAGTTGCACTGACCTTTTTGTTCCTTGAACAAGGCAAACTGTTCTCACTTTGGGTCCTTGTACTTACTGCTCCTTTCACCTAGACTGTTCCTCCTGAGATACGTATATGGTTCATTTCCTTACTTGATGGAAGTTTCTGTTCAGATGTCACCAATTCACTGAGACCTTTCTTTATCTAAAATGGCATCCCCAAACACCTTCTGTCTTCTTACTGCTTTATTTTTCTTCATAGCACTAATAGCTAGCTAGCTACCTGTTTATCTGTCTCCCCTCTCCCTACCCCCTTCTCTCTCTCCCTCTCTCCCTCTCCCTCCCTCCCTCTCTCTCTCTCTCTCACACACACACACACACACAGGAATATTGGCTCCATGAACACCGTGGCTTTATTTTTGTTTACCGTATCTCCAGTGCTGAGAATAGTGTCTAGCACCTACACCTGGTAAGTGCTAAATATATGTATGTTGGAAAATGAATGAATGAATGATGACTTTTAGGAAGTCTTTTGCTCTTTCAGCCGCAGTATTTCATACCTTTTATTAGGGCATTGGCACAGCATGAATTCAGAGAAAATCTGTACTTAAGTGACTAGCTCCTTTGTGTGCATTGCATGTAGATCAGGAGTGGGGTTATTGAATAGCCACTTCTTTTCATGCAGTTCAGACTTTCATAGGATTAGATCAGCCTTAATTTCCAACTACTCAGTACTCCTTTATGACCTCGCAAACTGTATGGGAACAGGCTTTTTCTAGTTTTAATATGGACTAGTTAGCAGCAGCCTATGATATTGACCTTTCTCTGCTTTTACCCTGTTTCCCCCCAGCATTTCTTACACCGAAGCAGTGGAGATCTTAAAGCAGGCATCCCAGAACTTCACCTTCACCCCAGAGGTAGTATTTTGTGTGTGTGCATGTATGTGTGTGTGAGAGAGAAAATGTTTCCCTCTTGTCCTTAGTTTATTTTATTAAGAATCCTTCAAAATAATCTTATTTCTCTTATTAGCCTATGGTGTTTGCTCATGTGTACAAGCTTTTGTTTGATGTTTGCTTGCCCTTGTTCAAATACTTAAAATGAAAACTAATTTTGAAATATTAATAGAATTGTATCATTTAGAATAGCAGTGATTAAAGGATTATAAAGGAGTCTCCTAAGTTTGGGAAGATGGAAATTCTAAAAGAGAATGGTAATCACAGAATGTTACTGTAGAAATCAACTAGTCCAGTGTTTCCCAAAGTATATTCAGAGTAATGTTAAAAGGTGACAAACAAAAGAGATTATATGACCAAATAAGTTTAGGCAACATATTTAAAAGATTTCTTTTTTAGTTGAACTTTATAGAGCCTTTTAGTTTATGAGCCAATATGGAAAACACTGATTTTTTTTTTTTAATGCTCCTGTTTTTGTTTCTTTTTTTAAAGAGACACGGGTATTGCTTTGTTGCCCAGGCTGGACTTGAACTCCTGGGCTCAAGTGATCCTCCCACATTAGCCTCCCAAGTATCTGGAACTACAGGTGCATTCCACTGTGTCTGACCAAGAACTCTGTTTTTTTTTTTTAATTTAAAAATATTTAATTGACAAATAAAGATTGTACATTTTCAATATTTACTTGATGATTTGATATACACATACATTGTGTTATGATTATTATCACAGTCAAATTAATTAACACATCTATCAACACCTACACTGAACTTAAGATCCCCAAAACTTGTTCATTCATCTTATAACTGAAAGTTCATACTCTTCTATCACTATCTCCTCATTTCCCCCGCTCCCCAGCCTCTGGAAATCACTGTACATACTCCCTATTTCTGTGAAGGAAGTCCTTTATTTTATTGGCAAGGATGTAGGTCCAGTGAGTCCACATGATTTATCAGTGAGCATATGTATAATGTTATAGGCAAGGCTCCTCATTTTTATTCCAGTCCTTTCTTCTATAATTAGGATATCTCCAGATAAGTGAGAGTACTAAGGTGTTAAGAATGTAATACCTTTGTCTTCAAACTATTCCCTGTACCAATCCAATCCCCAGTTAAAGTCAGATCCTCTTATAAGGTATAATAGTAATCATAATCAGTTAACTCTTTTTGTAATTTTTAATGTTTGTCTTCTACCCTGGAAGCTTCATGAAGTCAGGGATTATAACTGTTTTTCTTACCATTATATCCAGTATCTAGCATGGTACTTGGAATTTCATAGCTATTTGCCAAATAAATAGATTGAACAATATTATTAAATATTCATCAAAGAGCATCTGATATATGAGTTCACTCTTAGTTTTTTAAAAAAAATTCACCAAGACAAGACATCTAGCCAAAGATAGGCTCGATATTAGGAATATTATCTTCTGTCATTTAATTTTCTGAGACCTAGGAGTAGTAATTGTGGAAGAAACTCTAGGCAATATTAATAAAAACTGTGATTCTGAAGTCAATTTTTATCCCCTTGGAAAGTGTAGTTTGTATTCCTGCAGGTGCTATTCATCTGCTGAATGCTGCTCCCTGAGATGGGGGACAGAAACAGTGTTTATCCATTGGCTTTAGCTTTCATCTTTCCAGGCCTTTGGCTGTTCTTGTTAACAAATGTTTCTCTCTAATTTAGTCAGCTGTGTCACCTCAGCAGACAGCTCCCCACATCACTAAGCCTCAGGGAAAAGAAGCCTTTGGAACTAATGTAGGTTATTTTCAGGGTTTGTTTTGTTTTTTGAGACAGGCTTTCTCTGTCACCCTGGCTAGAGTGCAGCAGCATGATCATAGCTTACCGCAACCTCAAATTCCTGGGCTCAGGCAATCCTCCTGCCTCAGCCTCCTGAGTAGCTGGGACTACAGGCATGCACCACCATGCCTAACTAATTTATTCTATTTTTGTAGAGATGGTGTCTTGATCTTGCTCAGGCTGTCTCAAACTCCTGACCTCAAGTCTATCCTCCAACCCCAGTCTCCAGAGTACTAGGATTACAAGTGTGAGCCACCTCACCTGGCCTATTTTCAGGTTCTTGATTGTATGTTTCAGCTCTGTCTTCTCCTTTGATCATTTTTTTTTTCTCATTACAGTGGGGTATTGATCTACAGACTGAACATGAAAAGTACCTATTGAAGCACTGTGGCAACATACCAGTCTTCATCATTAATTATCCATTGGCACTCAAGCCTTTCTACATGAGAGAGAATGAAGATGGCCCTCAACACACAGTAAGAAGAGATACTAAATAAATTGGGGTTAGTTGTCTCAGAGTCTGGATTTTTCCCTTGCTTTAATTTCACTTAGCCTTTGGTATGTTTTCTTAAGTTATATCCATCACTGTTTTTCTCTCTTAAAATGATAAAGTTTTTCAAAGATACCTCTTAAAAAAGCATTCCCAAAGAAAATCCCAATGTTTTATAAATGTATTTCCTCATTTCTATCTGTAGTGTCTGTCGTTTAACAGATACAAATATAGGGGGTTTTTTGTTTAGTTTTGTTTTTAATAACTGAGAGAAAGTGGCCTGGAGCACTGTAGCAATATTGCTGCACAACAGAGTTAGTATTCAGACCTGATTGATTCACTGTAGCTGTAAAGTCTGTGTTCCTTTCCACTCTATCAGACTGCCTCAAAATCACAAATAGTATAAAATTACATTTTAGCTATTGATTTTACTCATAGCCACCTTTTATATAATATCATCTAAAACCAGCAAGCAACACAACTGATTTATGATTCTTACTCTCTTTTCCCTACCAATCTTTCAGTATAATTGTTTAGCCCACAGGTTGGCAGCAAAAAGGAGGAGAGACTAGGACACAGATTATCCAATTTTAAATATTAATAATTCAGTGTTAGCCTATATTATAAACAGAGGACTATGTCCATATCTCTTGGTTTATCTTTTTTTTAAATTTCAGCATATTTAGGGGTACAAATGTTTAGGTTACATATATTGCCCATGCCCCCCACCCCCAGTCAGAGCTTCAAGTGTGTCCATCCCCCAAATGGTGCGCATCACACTCATTATGTATATATATACCCATTCCCTTCTTCCACCTTCCATCTGCCCGATGCCCAATGATTGTTATTCCTATATGTCCACTAAGGTGTTGATCAGTTAAAACCAATTTGATAGTGAGTACGTGAGGTGCTTATTTTTCCATTCTTGGGATATTTCACTTAGTAGAATGGGTTCCAGCTCTATCCAGGAAAATACAAGAGGTACTATATCACCATTGTTTCTTATAGCTGAGTAGTACTCCACAGTATACATATACCACATTTTATTAATCCACTCATGTATTGATGGGCACTTGGGTTGTTTCTACATCTTTGCAATTGTGAATTGTGCTGCTATAAACATTCTAGTGCAGATGTCTTTTTTATAGAATATGTCTTGTTCTTTTGGGTAGATGCCCAGTCATGGGATTGCTGGATCAAATGGTAGATCTACTTGTATCTCTTTGAGGTATCTCCATGTTGCTTCCACAGAGGTTGCACTAGTTTGCAGTCCCACCAACAATATAGGAGTGTTCCTCTCTCTCTACATCCACGCCAACATTTATTATTTAGGGACTTTTTGATATGGGCCATTCTTACTGGGGTTAGGTGGTATCTTATTGTGGTTTTGATTTGCATTTCCCTGATGATTAGAGATGTTGAGCATTTTTTCATATGTTTGTTGGCCATTATTGTGTCTTCTTTTGAAAAGTTTCTGTTCATGTCCTTTGCCCACTTTTTGATGGGGTTGTTTGATTTTTTTCTTGCAGATATTCCTGAGTTCTAAATAGATTGTAGTTATCAGCCCTCTATCGAATGTGTAGCATGAGAATATTTTCTCCTATTCTGTTCGTTGTCTGTTTGCTCACGTGATAGTTTCTTTGGCTGTGCTGAAGCTTTTTAATTTGATCAGGTCCCATTTATTTATTTTTGTTGTTGCTGTGTTTGCCTTTGGGATCTTCTTCATAGATTCTTTGCCTAGGCCAATGTCTATAAGAGTATTTCCAATGTTTTCCTCTAGAATTATTATAGTTTTACACCTTAGGTTTAAGACTGTTATCCACTGTGAGTTGATTTTTGTGAGGTGAAAGGATCCTTTTGTGAGGTGTGGATCCTGTTTCAGTCTTCTACATGTGACTATCCAGTTTTCCCAGCACCATTTATTGAATAAGGATTCTTTTCCCCAGTGTATATTTTTGTCTGCTTTGTCAAAGATTAGAGGGCTATATGAGAATGGTTTTATATCTGGGTTCTCAGTTCTGTTCCATTGGTCTGTTTCCCTGCTCTTGTGCCAGTACCAGGCTGTTTTAGTTACTATAGCCTTGTAGTATAGTTTCAAGTCTGGTAAATTGATGCCTCCCATTTGGTTCTTTTTGCCTAGTATTGCTTTTGCTATGTGGAGTCTTCTCTGGTTCCATATGAAGCATAAAATTATTTTTTCTATGTCTGTCAAAAATGATGTTGGTATTATCATAGGGATTGCATTGAATCTGTAGATCACTTTGGGTAGTATAGACATTTTAATGTTGATTTTGCCAACCCACGAGCATGGTATGGTTTTCTACCTGTTTATGTCCTCTGCTATTTCCTCCCTCAGTGTTTCATAGTTCTCCCTGTAGAGAGGGAGAACTCTTTTACCTTCTTAGTTAAATATATTCCTAGGTACTTTACTTTCTTTGTTGCTATTGTGAAAGGGTATTGAGTCTTTGATTTGGTTCTAGTTTGACTGTTATTGGCGTATATGAATGTCTTAGCTTATTTTTATTACTCCCACCCACTCCCAACCTCCCCAACCATGTATTCTTCTCATATAATGGAAATGGAAATTACATGAGAAGAATATGTGAGCATTTTTCAGTCACTCAGCTTTGCACTTTCTTAACTCCTGTGTTTAAGATTTTTCCTTCTCTATTAAGACTTCATGGGTTACCTAGCCACTTAGAGCCTTTCTTTCTTAGATTTCTATAGCATTCAAAGAATTAGTAAAACTTTATAACATTGTATCTATTTTTTATAGTCTATATATAAGTTTTGCTCTCTTAAACTAAACTTTTAACTTCAGAATAGTGATTCAATTGTTTATAACCACCACAGCATCTCCTGCTCATTCCATATTCCCTCTAATGTAACTTTCACGCCCCTATCATTCCACTGCAGCTCTTGTCAGGGTTAATAATGTTATTAAATCCAACAGCTTTTAAAAGTCTTTATTTAACTTGGACTCTTAGCACTATTATGAACCCACCACCCTTCTGCTGCACCACTCTGCATTCTGATACTATCTAGCACTGTAGATGACTTTCTTATTCTTAAAACCCTCTCCTTCCTTTGCTTCTGTGCCATCACATTCTCCTGGGTTTTTTTTTCCTTTCTCCATGGTTATTCTTTTTTAGTCTCCTATACAGGTTCATCCACTTCTAGCAATCCATTGGATATTGAAATTCCTCGAGACTCAATCTAAGGTCTTCTTTTCTCTCCCAGTGATTTCAGTTGTAACCATAGCTTACTATTCTCAGGCAACTCAGAAATTTATACCTTTTTAAAAAATTATTTTAAGCCTAAAATGACAGCTGAGAAGAAATTCACATCTCTATCCCAGACTTCTCCTCTAAGCCCTGGACTGAGATACAGTTATTTTTCAGTATCCTTGGGGATTGATACCAAGACCCCACTTCACCGAGACCCCCACCTCAGATACCAAAATCTGTGGATGCTCAAGTTCCTTATATAAAATGGCATAGTATTTGCATATAACCTACACACATCCTCCCATATACTTTAAGTCATCTCAAGATTACTTATAATGTTGTGTCCAAGAATTCTGTATCTCAGAACAGAATGTCAGAGTAACAAGCTCACACCAATGTAAGCCACAAATGGAGGTTTATTTAAGTTAGCTCGAGCTAGGGTCCAGGTCCCAGAGCACCAGCTCGGTGGTCTCTTTAGACAAGGACCTTTGGCAAGGTTTTAGCACAGGTTTTATACTTTTGGTTGTTGAGCAACTCAGGTTTTTGGTTACAAATGATACCTGGGACCTACCTGGACCCCACACAAGCTGTTCGTGCGCTGATTATGCTGACCGTGTATTGATTTATTGATTGGTTGGCTAGGTCCCAAGGACTTTGCACTACCTTATCAGGTAGTGCCTTACAGTTTCCTCCCTGGAGCCTTGTTTTTTCTTTTTTTTCTTTCTTTTTATTTCCCCTTACTTTGCAGAAGCCTGTCATGGCTTCTGTCAGGCTAAGTGGCAAGCAAGCAAGCTAATTACAAAAGCTAAGGTACAGAAGCCAAGATAGCAGTTAGCTTGTATCCTACAATAATACCTAATACAGTGTAAATGCTAAGTAAATAATTGTTATACGTATTGTTTAGGGAATGACAAGAAAAAAATCTGTACATGTTCAGTATAGATACAGCCACTCATCTTTTTCCCCAAAATATTTTCAGTCCTTGGTTGGTTGAATCCACAAATAAAGAACCCACAGATATGGAGGGCCAGCTGTATCTTAACTACCACTTTGACTGCCATTTGCATATCTTAAGGGTATCTCAAACACAACATGTCCAAAACTGAGCCCATAATTTCTCCCCTTCTCACCTCCTCCCACCAGATTTGATCATCTTTCAATATTCCCTGTTCTTCTAATTGTGCAAGCCAGATACCTGAGTAATCTTTAAAATCTTCCTTTTTTACTTACTGTATTCAAGCTATTACTAAGTTCTATCAGTTTTACACTCCTAAATATCTCTCAAATCCATTCAATTCTCTTCATTTCCACTTTTATCTTTTTAGATTAAGAAAGAGTCATCTTTTGCCGGGACAACTTTAGTAGCCTCCTAACTGGTTTTCCTGTATCCACTCTTTCCTCTCCTGAGTCAATTCTCCTGATTTCAGTGTGAGATTTTAGAAAATGTAAATCCAATAATGTTATCTCCTTTCTTAATTAAAACTATTCAGTGTCCTCTGTTTGTTCCTAGGATAAAAGCCATAGTCCTTCACATGGCCTAAAGCCAGTATAATCTGTCTGTGCCTCCGTCTCTAGCCTGCGGGACTGTGGTGCTCCACTTTGCTCTCTCTGCTGCAACCCCACCATCCTTCTTCCACGTCAGCAAACATGTACTGCTTTCTCTCACCTCAGGATCTTTGCATACATTGTTCCTTCAATCTAGAAGTCTTCTTTATCTAAGTAATTTTACTTATTATTCAGATCTCAACTCAATCACCAT